TTTTTTTTTTTTTTGCGGTACGCGGGCCTCTCACTGTTGTGGCCTCTCCCATTGCGGAGCACAGGCTCCAGACGCGCAGGCTCAGCGGCCATGGCTCACGGGCCCAGCCGCTCCGCGGCATGTGGGATCCTCCCAGACCGGGGCACGAACCCGTGTTCCCTGCGTCGGCAGGCGGACTCTCAACCACTACGCCACCAGGGAAGCCCGAAAGGTGGTTTTTTGTTTGTTTGCTTGTTTTTCTGCTGAGCTTTTCTCTCAAACTGCTTCCTGCTAGCAGAATATTGGGAGTCCAAGTGTCTCTCATTCTGGGTGATCTTTGTCTGTTAATATTCCTGCATATATAACTCTTTTAAGAGCTTTGTGGGTTTCTTGTGAATCTCTTTATTCTATTAGAGCACATCCAGAGCACATCCATAAAAATTTGGTCTAAAGATATAGCCAAGGATGTGACTGTAAAATCATGAATTTTCTGAAATCTTAAAAAAAAAATACATATTTTACAGTCACACCCTTGTCTGTATCTTTAGACCAAATTTTCAGAGCAGTGCCCAAGGTTAGATCTTTGTTCAGAAGCCATTTCTTAATTTTGGCACTGTTGTGGCTTGGCAAGGCTGAGAATATTAAAAAACATCAGTTGTTGGCTTCTTTTTTTTTAATGGTCCATTCCTCAATTTATCTCTCTCCTTTCTCATTTTACTAAATAGCAAGAAGAAAGAGGCTGCCCCACCAACACTTTGCTTGGAAATATTCTTATCTTCATGACAGTTTATTAGGTACATTTTCTAGTTTCTATATAGTTGCAAGAAGCTGTATTGCTAAGTTTCCTTTCACTACATACATAACCAGAATGCTCCTTCCTCCAATTTCCAATAATATTTTTCTCAGTTTTTGTAAGATCTCACTCACAGTGTCCTCAGTCTTCAAAATTTGGCAGTGTGTGCAAGTTACTTTATGCTTTTACCAGTATTCTTCTCAAGACCACTGATGGATTCCAAAGCCATTCCCAAATTTTACAGTTTTTGTTTGAGGCAGTACCCTACTTCCACATACTAAAATCTACTTTAGCTATCCATTTATGCATAACAATAACAAGTCATCCCCAAAACTAGCAGATGAAAACAAGTGTGTCTTCTGTTGTTTAGAAACAACTAGTAGCAACTTAGGTGGCTGGTTCAGACTGTGGGTCTCTCTCTCAAAGTGTCAGCCAGGGTAGAGTCTTTAAAGGCTTCACTGGGGAGAATCCATGTGTGAGGGTACTCACAGCTGTTGGAAAGCCTCAGAAGATCTACCTCCAGGCTGATATACATGGGCCTCTCCACAGGATTGCTTCATATTGTGGCAGCTGGCTTCCCCCAGAGCGAGCAATCCAAAAAAGATCACCCAAGAGAGAAGACACGGTCTTTCATAACCTAATCTAGGAACACTAATCTAACACTCCATCACGTCTGCCATTCTATTCACTAGAAGTTAGTAAAAAAAAACCCAAGCCAGACTCAGAAGGAGGATTACATGGGCCATCATACCAAGAGTTGGGGATCTTTGGGTCCCGGTTTAGAGACTGTGTACTATAGCGATACCAAAAAGCAGCAATGGAAACATAAACCCCAAACTAATAAAAATGGTTTCCTAAAAACAGAAGTAGAAAGCAGAAGGAAGGGACAGAAGTCAAAGCTGTATCTCTCAATGCAACTTGTTTGGTAGATTTGACTCTGGAAATTTGTGAGTATTTCACAGAATGAAAGCTCAAAAGAAAAGAAGCAATCCTTAGATACGGAATCTGTCAACATTAATTTGAATTGGAAACATTTGTAAAAACTGAGAGTTTTTCTCTTTTAAAATATATTTCTAAAAGAAAAGTGTTTCATTTCTTGACAACTGAAAAGCTTAGAATCAGTAGCAAAAATAACACCCTAGTAACCAGATTAATGGGAAATGCATTTCCCATTAAAAGGAACAAAGGTTCCCAGAAGAAATAATGGATTCCAGGTCCTGAGTTGGAAATGTACAAGATGAGCCCAGGATATCTTGTGAGTGATCACAGCAAAGCTATTAAGGTTCATGGGTTTTTTTGTGATAGAAACACAAAAAAATGTCTATTGAAACAGTTCCTTTTGGTCAAGGATGGAGCAATTCAAACAGCCAAAAGAATAAGGACTGTGATGGATTGAAATACATCACATATACAAAACTCTATCTTTGATGATATTTTAAAGGGAGCAGAGTTTCCTTTTTGTGTTTGCTAGAACCCATTCAATATTTCTGAAAAATGGTCGATAAAGTTTAAGAATCAAGCATATTCCCTGCCTTTCTTACAAGGAATCTATTTCAGGGCAATCCTGTAGTTTGCAAAGGAAAGTTTTGTTTTGTAAGAAAATAGCTTATAAATGCAGGAATAAAATCAAATTAGAAAATCAAAATCTTGCAATCCATAATAAAACAATGTATCTAAACAATGATCATCAGAGGCTGCGAAAACGATTAGGTGGAAGGTCGGAGGAGAATTTTGTAATGTATGGATCAGGCTGACAACACCTGATTCCTTTAATCAGTGGGATAGTGAGACATTTTGCTTGCTTTGATGTGATTCAGTAGGATATATACAGCACCCCATAAATTATTCTTGAAAACAAAAAGAAGAATGTACTCAAATGTGTAAGTCACATTACTAGTTTGGGGCTTAGGTGACTAAAATAAATTATGCCATGAGAGTACAAGCAACCAACCCAGACCTAGAAGAATTTACGTGACAAATTTATATTACATAACCTAGTGTTTTCAAGAGGCAAACAAACAATATACAAAGAGGGGGAGGGTGTCATAGATACACACACATACACACACAAATTGCTATACCAGCAACATAAGAATCAAACAAATATAGGGTAATATTTACATCATATTAGGGTATTATAAAGGCCGACATAAGCATATGAACAAAGGCATAATCATTCCATAATCTTTAAAAGCCAGAGTTACCAACCTTACCTTATCCTTGGGTATGCCTTAAGATTGTTGCTGAGACAAAATTAATCCCTGACTTCAAACAGCTTACAATCAATTTGTGGAAACCGATTATTATACAAAGGATGGTGGAAGTTAGTGGTCAGGGAAATTATTGTGGACACAAAACCTATCTTGAAATTGTGCCTCTGAAACTGAAGCATCTCTGAGCCTCAGTTTCCTCATCTATTAAATAGCAAGTATCCTTGGGTTGCAAAGAGGACTGAATTGAATAATGTAAAACAGTCTTTACATGAAGAAAAGAAATAACAGCCATGTAGTATACGAAATAGTAACAAATGTGTGGGCTGGACCACATGCTTCACGTATTTGGAGAAGGGGAATAACACCAAGTTAATAGGGAGTTTATGCAAGTTTTCTGCAAGTATCAGAATTTGAACTCATTCTGAGTGGCAGCCTAAGGAATCTTGCCATGTGATTGGATATGTCTGCCCCAGCACCTGGCCCTCTGCATGGCGGATATCCAAACAAATTCTTGCTAAATAAATGAATGGATAGGAATACTGTGCTGTTCAGCCAGGTTAGAGTTGCCGTTGGGTTATATGGGCTCTGGATGGAGACTCTTGCTAATGATGGGACCAAAATCACCTTTGGGGCGCCCATTTGGTAGGGTGAGGGGCATGCTACTTTATCCTTCAGGTTTTGATATTTTTCTCCCCTCAATCAAGTAGTTTCCTTTCTCTCTTACTATTGTTATGTTCCCAATAGGGCTAAGAAATTTAAACTGAGGACATGGAAAAATACTGCTCACCAAAATAAGCAGAAATAAACACGATCCTTTGAACTCTTATTAAACATAGACTCTATAAAGAAGTCACTTAGAAAATTTTCAATCATTATACATTATTTTTCTTAATTAGAAACATCCTTACTATGTATTAAATATCCTTCCCTATAGCAAAAATCCATATATTGTCCCCAACCAACATTTAATACTCCCTCATTTTTCCTTGAATCTTATCAAACGGATATCATTTTTAGATTAAAATTTCTTTACAACAGAGAATAGCCTACTTCTAAATGTCACGCGTTCCTACATAAAGGGGTCAGAGTTCTTCATTGTTTTGTTTTTAGGAGTGGAACATTTCCATAAATCATTTGCATCCACCGGTAACTGCTATGGTCTGCATTTCCCCTAGAAGATGAAAAGCCACGAGCCACTTTTAGTCATAGTTAACTAACACGCGGGCATAAATCACTCCACTCCAGCGCTCGCTGCTTCTTCGGGAGAGGACGTCGGAGACCGGGGCCTCGCCTGGTTGCTCCAGTCTTTCCAGCAGCAGAGGGATTAGACACATGCGCACGATTGGTCTCTTTGTGTGCACCGGGAAGGGCTTGGCGTCGATTTACACTTCCTAACCTAACGGGGCAAAGACCTGGAGCGCGAGCGTGCGCTTAGGAATAAAAATGCACTGTAAAACACGGCCATTGAAATAAACAAGTGCCTCGCTCCCGCTGGCCTTCTTCCCTGGGAGAATCCCCACCGCCCTTTCCCCGGTGTCCAGCTTGCAAGTGGAGATTAAGAGCCCGGGAATGAGGAGCCGTGGCCTCAGGAATCCCGCACCCGGGAGAGCGTGGCTGGCACAGGGAGCCGGGTGGGAGCGGGACCCCGGGCGCGGGTGGCGGGAGGAGCTCACCGCCCGAGTCGCGAGTGATGGGGCGCGTCTTGCGAGTATCTTCTAGCCCAGCCACCCCGCGGGCCAGGGGGAGGGAGCCGGGCGGCGAATCGGCCCGCCCCCCCCCCCCGCCCCCCCCGCCGGGGAGCCATTGGTCTCTGCCATTCTCTAACACGTGCTGACCACACAGCCCTCTTTTACGAACTCCGGCCAGCTGTGCGCCGCCGAGTGAGGCGCCAGCCCGTGGGTGCTACCGGGGGCGGCGGCTGCGCGGAGGGGGCGCCAGCAGCAGGCGACGGCGGGGGCCGAAGGTGAGGACCGGAACGCGGAGGGCGGGCGCTGCTCGCGGCGCCGGGCCGCGTTCCCCGTCCGCGGTCACCCTGCCACCCAGCCTGCGTCCCCGGCGGCGGGAGCTCGGGGGCACCGGGCGGCGGCTGGCGGCGGCCGGCTGGATGCGAGACCTGCGCGGACCCCGTGGCGGACGGCAGCTCTCGACTCGGGGAAGCCGAACGCGCTGGCCATGGCCTCCAACTTTAACGACATAGTCAAACAGGGCTACGTGAAAATCCGCAGCAGGAAGCTGGGGGTGAGTCGCTCGCTAGGCTTTCTCCTTCCCCTGCGCCCGTTTGGCGCAGCTGGCGATGGGGGGCGGGGCGGGGAGAGGTGACCCACTCGGGGGCAGAGGCAAAGAAGGACCCGGCCCTCCCGCGGACGGCCCGCTTGTTGCTCGGCGGGGCTGGGGGCCCGCACCTGCCTCGGGGGGCTCTGCAGACCCGGCTGAGGGCTCCGGGAGCGCCTGGGTCCCCGTCCTCATGTGCGCGGCGCTGGTTTAGACCCAGACTGAGAAGTCTTGTAGGCGAAGGGGATTGTCAGTTCCGAGATGAATGCACCCCACAAGGGGTTTATATTCAGAGCAATCCACAGTGCTCTGTTCTCAGGAGTGTGCGCCTTCGGGTACAACTGCTCTGTGTGCAGGACGTGGACACACGCTCTGGTGTGTGTGTGTGCGTTTAGAATCACCATTTTCCCCGCTTCCCCAGCCCGCTTCGAAATTCTCTTTTGATGCCTTGCCTGCGCCCCGCGTCCCTGCCATCGACTGCCGGCGAGTTTCGTGCTCCCTGAGCAGTTGCCCACCGGCAGGCTCCCCGGCCGCGAGTGCGCCCGGACAGGTGGACCTAAGTCCGCATGCACGCAGGTGTGTGCTCACGGCCGCTGACACGGGAGCGTTCGCGACAGAAAAGTTTACGGAGACCTTCTCTTGGTTTTTTGAAATATGCTCTGCCCGACTTGGGAGAGAAACAGTGTAGACCCCCGAGGGTTTAAAACTTCTCCAGTGACCGGATGAGGAGGTAAGAGGAACGCGTAGACGGCCCTAGAGGACCTGGGAGGTGGGCTGCAGGGAGTGGGAGGGGAGGGCGGGCACCTGGGCCGAGAGCCGCCCGAGTGAGCAGACGTGGGGGGACGGTCGGAGCGACAGGCAGAGGTCCCCCCGAGAGCGCGCGCTGGAGGAGTGGGCACCCGAGGCCGGCCTGGGTGGGCCTGTCCAGAACGCGAGGGAAACTCGATCTGGGGGCCAAAGTGCCCGCTTTCCGGATTCCCTGGATGTCTCTCCACCTCACGCTTCTCAAAGCTCCAGTTCTACGGAGCTCCGGAATCCTGGGGCAAAGCGGCCTTGAACGAGAACATTCCCTGCCTTCCCTGCTGAATGGATGAATTACTCTAACTTGGAGAGGGAA